GCAGGCAGGGGCGGTCAGGCCGGGCTGTCTCTTTAAGACTGTGTTTCTGTTAGCACAGACGGTGAGTAACCCGGCCCCCGTCCCGGGTGAAACCCCGAGGCGGGATGGGTCCTTGGCTTGATAAGGCTCGGTGGGTGAGAGTATCAATCTCCGGGCGCGGAATGTGGGGAAGTTATGAATGGGGGGAGGGACTCCGCTTTGAGCCAAAGCTCCCGGGTACCTTATACATTTTAACAGGGCTCCTGGGGAGGAGCGAGGCCAAGTTCCAAAGGGAGGAGAGTCCTCCACCTGGCTTCAGCGTCCACACGGCACAGCCCTTCATAAATCTTGGTAAGCGCAGTAGTTCGTGAATTACTGGGGTGAATTCCAGGAGCTTCAGGCTTTAGTGGTGGCTAGGGAGGCAAAGGAACCCACCGCTGCCGGCTGTCAGGTGGGCCTGGGGAACCTGATTCTACAGGCAGTTTCTTGGGCCGAGAAATGGAGCTGGCCCACCCACCCGTGGGGCAAATGGCAGCCCCCTTAGGAGTTCAGAGGGCACCATAACTAGCAACTGGTAGTAACGCTGTGCTTCCTTGCCGTCCATGGGGTGGAGTGGCAGAAGGGGGAGCAGAAGGGTGATTGTGAAGTCACAGAGGAAGTGGGATGCTACAGTTGGGGCCCGGGGCGGGCTGCCTGGAGGAAGGCAAGGTGCCGCCAGGCAGACTCAGTGCTTTCTGGAAGGGAGCCGCTGGGATCAGCAGGGTATATCTGGCGCTCACAGTGGACCGATGACGGTGAGGCCACTCTACTGCAAGGGCCCCCCTCCCCCTCCTACACAGGAATGAAAACAGTCCCATGTCCACCCTCTGGAAGCCTAAATACTGCCCACACCATGTGGAAAGCCGTAGAGAGACTGAGTGGCACATCCCGCTATCCCTTTTGCCCAAACCTCCTACTGGGTAGACCACCCTCTTGCTCTGTCCAAGCTTAGCTCTGTGAGCTTATTCTGTTCCTCCTGAGTAGTTGATGTCTAGGATTTGGGGTACCAGGACTCTGGGAAATATGCATTGGAGAGCAGATGAGTCTGGAAGATCACCGCTGACTCCCACCCTCCTACTTCTCCAGATGCAGAGGTCTCCATGGCTGTAATAAGCCTGCTGTTCTTGGCAGTGATGTATGTTGTTCACCACCCCTTGATGGTCAGTGACCGGATGGACCTGGACACGCTAGCCAGAAGTCGGCAGCTGGAGAAGCGAATGAGCGAGGAGATGCGACAGCTAGAGATAGAGTTTGAAGAGAGAAAGCGTGCAGCTGAGCAGAGGCAGAAGGCAGAGAACCTCTGGAGAGGAGACACATCTGGTGACCAGTTAGTGCTGGGGAAGAAAGACATGGGGTGGTCGTTCCAGGCTGACAGCCAGGAGGGGCCTCTGGGCTGGATGCTGGGAAACCTGTGGAATGCTGGCCTCCTTTGCCTTTTTCTCATCTTTGAGCTCCTGCGACAGAACATGCAGCATGAGCCTGCCTTTGACTCCAGCAGTGAGGAGGAGGAGGAGGAAGTTCGTGTTGTGCCCATCACTTCTTACAACTGGCTCCCTGACTTCCCCTCCGGAGAGGCCCTGGACTCCTTTTATAAACACTATATCCAAAATGCCATCCGTGACCTGCCCTGCACCTGTGAGTTTGTGGAGAGCTTTGTGGACGATCTCATTGAGGCCTGTCGGGTGCTCAGCCGCCGGGAGGCTCACCCACAGTTGGAGGACTGCCTAGGCATTGGGGCTGCCTTTGAGAAATGGGGAACCCTCCACGAGACCCAGAAATTTGATGTCCTAGTGCCCATCATCCCTCCGCAGGGTGCTATGTTTGTCCTGGAGATGAGAGATCCAGCCCTAGGCCGCCGCTGTGGACGAGTGCTAGTGGAGTCAGAATGCGTGTGCAAGCGCGAGAAACTGCTAGGAGATGTGCTGTGCCTGGTACACCACCATAGGGACCACCCAACAGTCTTGGGGAAGTACAGCAGCTCCATCAAGGCGGCTCTCTGCACTGGCTTCCACCTGGATGTGTGCAAGACTGTGCAGTGGTTCCGGAACCTGGTGGGCAATGCCTGGACTCTTGTAGCCCACAAGTATGACTTTAAGCTCAGTCTCCCACCATCTACCACCTCCTGCAAGCTCAGGTTGGATTATCGCTCGGGCCGCTTTCTCTCAATCCACTTGATCCTGGGGGTGCAAAGGGAAGACACATTGGTCTACCTGGTGAGTCAGGCTCCTGACCAGGAACAGCTCACCAGTGTGGACTGGCCTGAGTCCTTTGCAGCCTGTGAGCACTTGTTCCTGAAGCTGGTAGGGCGTTTTGCTCCTGGGAACACCTGTCACCTTAAGTGCCTCCAGATCATTTTAAGTCTCCGAAACCATCAGAGTTTACCCAAAGGAGCATCCCACCCCATCCTCACCTCTTACCACTTCAAAACAGCCCTCATGCACCTGTTGTTACGGCTGCCCCTGACGGACTGGCAGCACAACCGGCTCTCTCAGCGGCTCCAGGACATTCTCTGGTTCTTGGGACGTGGCCTCCAGCAAAGGTCCCTCCATCATTTCCTCATTGGTAACACTTTCCTGCCCCTGACAATCCCCATCCCTAAGACATTTCGGAATGCTGAGCCTGTCAATCTCTTTCAACACTTGGTGCTAAACCCCATAGCACATTCACAGGCTGTAGAAGAGTTCCACAACCTTCTGACCCAGGTAAAAACTCTGCCCCGTGCCCCACTGGCTGTGGCACCTTAATGTAAAGTCCATTAAAAAAAAGGGGGGGGTAGGAGGTATTTCTGATTCCTCAGGCTGCAAAAGAGTTTATTTTTTTGATATATGGATGGTATATGTGACCGTCACCTTGCCAGTAGGGACATTTTGAGTGCACGAGATGCTCATGAGGATGGATGCAGCCTGCAGGACCTAATCTGAGGTTTTCTTCTTCTGACTTAACTTTCACCATGACCCAAAGAAGGACCAGGGCAACAGATGTTACAGGAGGATCTTGCTGCTAAGGAGTTAAGATCCAAACGGACCTGTGAAGTTATGTTTTTGCATTAACACTGGAAGCAAAAGAGAAGCAGAGAATATCTCCATTCCAGTTTATTCCTTTTTGCGATTGACCCCTAACATGTTCCCTGTGAATTGGTTTCCCTGTTGAACTGTTAGCTTAATTCTCATCCAAGCTAATGGCACTCCATTTTATCCCAAATACTGTGTCAGGGAACTTCTCATATTTAAGATCCAATTTTTCAGACCTTCACTATTTTGAGAATATAACCAAGTGAACCCCATTTTCATATGACAAGACAGCTGTTTTGAATGCATATTAAAAAAATTCCAGTACTACCTAATTTAGTAGCATTGATTCACAAATATTAAGTCAATAGTGACCGGTCTCATAATTGAGATGTATTTACTATAATTGGTGAAATCACTAATATCTGACGAATTTTTTAGTGCCTGGAAGCAACATTATAAAGGCTTTCAGGAGAAGAGTCATTTTGGGAGCTCTGACATGTACAATTACTTTGTTTCTGAGGGGTAGCTTTTTGTTTGTTAAACAGAAAGAGGGTTTAGCTACCATGTGTAGCTGTGCTTTTTCTCAGTCTGGTCATGCCTTTATATTACCTTTTCAAAGACGACAAAGGGATTACTTGAACTATGTTTACAGTTTTTCTTCTTTTGAGTTGGAGTCTCAACTCTGTCGCCCAGGCTGGAGTGCAGTGGCACACTCAGCCACCGCAGCCTCAACCTACTGGGCTCAGGCAATCCTTCCATCTCAGCCTTCCAGAGAGCTATGACTACAGAGGTACACCCCCACGCCTGGCTAATTTTTTGATTTATTGTAGAGATGAGGTCTTGCCAAGTTGCCCAAACTGGTCTCGAACCCCTGGGCTCAGATAATACTCTCACCTCGGCCTCCCAGAGTGCTGGATTATAGGCATAAGCCACTGCACCTAGCCTGTTTACAGTTTTTAAAAGAGGGGTCATCACAATCAAGGCCTACTGCCAGGTTTGACAGGAAAGGATTGTGAAGCAGTCCAACTCTATAACAAAATTGTGATTCTAGAGACACGATTGGTATATTTTTCCCTTCTTTCAAAACCTTGGGCATCCTGAGGAGGAGTGTTAAGAAATGCAGCTATAGTTATGGGTGTGGTTGTTTTGAAAATATCAGTGCTGTTCCACCCAGCATAGCCAGCACTGCCAGGAAGATCTGCTGGGGAGGAGAACCTGTCCCCATTTATCTTGATCTCAGGGGGATGAAATGCTGGCCTTTATGGGCTTCAGTTGTAGAATCCACACCTTCCCCTCAGCAAAAATAAATTAAAAGTATCCCAGAAGCCGATGTCAGTCAATATATGGGGCTTCTGCTGCACGATAGCTACTGTGCTCCCATGTTGCATGCTGACATCTGTCAAGTACTGCTTTCAAGGTAACATGAAAGGATGGTTGGCTCTATGCTGGTAGGATTTTGGTGTTTCAAAAACATCTATATACTTTTTGTTTAGAAAATCATTCACTGGTGTTTTAGTTACAAACCAATAAAGAAGGCTCTTTTCTGTATGCATTGAAATCTGTGCAATAATACATTCAGTGGATCAGCTTTCTCACATGCCTGTTCCAAGAAGTTCATGTTACCCTGATAGTTCCATCTAGTACTTCTGTTACCCTGATAGTTCCATGTTACCCTGATAGTTCCATCTAGTATTTCTCAATGTACCTTGAACCTGTCTGCCTTGTGGTTTCCCAGAGGTCTGGCCAGTAGCCAGAGAAGAATAAGGAACATCTAGGTGATTAATTTTCATGATGCCTAAACCAAAATGTCAGCCAAACTGAAAGATTTTAGTGGCTACAAACAACATGTATATACTCTAAAAGTCGGCTCAGGTAGAAAGGTGGTATGATTTCTAGGACACACGGTTGTTTTTAGTCTAGCAGGAAACAAGAAAGAAAATGTAATGTTGTGAGTGGGCAGAAGATTACAAAGGGAATAGTCAGCAAAGCTTGGGTGGGGCAGAAGGTGCAAGAAAGAATATTAAATAAAAACAAGTAGTAATGGAAAGAACAGACCTGTAGTGCTCTGGGAATACTCTGACAATTAAAGGGGAAACCTCTAGATAGGAGCTAAGCTTTATTCCAAAACAAAACCTGGCTAGCCCCCAGGATGCAGCCCAGTGATAGTAATTGGAATACTAGGCATTCACTGAGCTTTGCAGTGGTCTGGACATGGTTCTGGTTGCTTTACATACCCTAACTCATTTAATGCTATGAAGTGGGCCCTTTATCCCCTCCATTTTACATATGAGGAAACCAAGGCACAGAAAGGGTAAGCAACTTCCCCAAGGTCACACGGCTAGTAAGTGGCAGAGTCAAGAAGAAAGTACCTGCCCTAGGAAGCTTTCAGCATGATCTTGGGAATAAAACAAGATGTGAGGGTTAAAGTGCTTTGAAAAGCAAAAATCACTATATTTTAAAGGGTGGTATGTTACTGTTTGAAAATTCTAGACAACAGAAATTGTTGGTTCTTAGCCCAGTCTTTAGGAGGTCAGGAATTTCATACCATGTACAAAAGTTAACGGCATTTGCATAGAGGCCAAAATGAATGCCAAGCCATTTCAGCTACATGCCCACTGAGGCCCCATGACTTGATGGTTTGTATCAGAAACTGTATTATGGTATAAGCCGGCTGCAGGCTGGAGGTTCAGGGCAGACTGAAGCCAAAAGATTGCTTGTTCAGGTAGCCAACAGATAACACTATTGTTCCTCGTGAAAACTAAAGCTGTTTCCCATTTAATTTGGGGAAGTAGACTCCCCATGAGGAGTAAAGTGGGTGGGGGGAGGCAGATGACTCCAGCATCACTTTTCTGGTGGCCTAGGAGTGGGGAGAGGCCCTAGGACTTTACTTTTGTACTGACAAATTGGCTTGCATACCACTGATACTAGGATGAATCATTCATTCTTTTGGCACCCTCCATAGACCTAACCCCAAAACAAAGATGGCATTCAGAGCAGGGAGTGAAAGACCAGAGGGCAATGGGCGGGCCTGGCCCAGAGATGCTGGGGTGGGGCTGGCTCTGTCTCCCTGCACAGGAAGCTTGAAGCTTAATGACTCCGTTATCCCTACACAACAGCCTCAAGCCTTACCTGGTAGGTCACCCACCTTCTGCCAGGGATTTTAAGCTAACTCCTCAGAGGCTTCTGATTTGGTGCCACCAACCACCTCCTGATCCTTGCTGCTCCTAGAGCACACATGGACTCCAGAGGATCACAGCTGTTCCCACTCTCTTCCCTCAAATGCATTCATCAGAGGAAACAAATAAGGGAGATGACAAGGGCTCCTCACATATCCTGAGCAAGTCCAGTCTTCGAAGGAGGTACTGTCACATTTTATAGCCAAGGAAGAAAATGAGGTCCCGAGAATGTAATAGGATTGAATTTGTCTTCCAGCTGTACTCGAAATTCAACATATATTTAAGTATTTGCTGTGTCCAGGGTCTGCGGGAAAACAATGGTGAGCAGAGCAGATGTGGCTTCATCCTCACGGAGCTGACAATCGATGCAGGAGGCATGAAATAGTCCCCCTAACACATATAAAAAAATTGCAGCCATGACATGTTCTACTACTGAAGGCTTCAGTAAGAAGGCCTCCCTGAGGAAGTGGAGCTAACAGGGTGAAGAGGGGGATGAAGAGAATCCTACGTGGAGGACTGCGCATGTACAGAGTCCCTATGGTGGGAGTGGGCATGGTTAGGGCAGTCTGAAAGAAGGCCCAAGTGGCTGTTATGGCCAGATCCAACAATCGGCTGCTTCCCTCGTGGTCAATCAAATACGAAAGGCAGAAAGCTGGAAGAAATATGGAGTTTTATTCTGCTACCCTGGAATCAGGGAACAGGCTGTGAATCCACCAAAAACTTCAAGCAGAGTTTTCATCCAGTATTTATAATAAAGCATACAGTTTATCTCCCTCCCCATCGATTAATAATGACTACATGTCTTATGACTATTACTTAGTTTTCTTCACAGTGTTTAGACTCCAAACAGTTACTGTCACAAACCAGTGCTCAGATTACATCAATGCTGCCACTCTTCTCAGTAACAATTACCTTGAACAATTTGGGGCTGTGTACTAGTTGGCTCCAGTTTTGTTTTGTTTATTCCGGGAGTTCTGGTTCACAAGGCTTGATTAAATATTATACATAAAATTAATACAAAGACATGAAAGAAAGCAGTTGTCATCTAGAGACTAAGGGAACAGATACATTTCTGGGTTTTAGAAAGCCCATTTCTTTTCTTTCTTTTTTTTGAGTCAGAGTCTCACTGTCACCCAGGCTGGAGTGCAGTGGCACACTCACAGCCACCTCAGTGTCAACCTGCTGGGCTCATGCGATCCTTCTACCTCAGCCTTCCTTCCAAGTAGCCAGAACTACAAGGCACGTGCTACCATGCTCGGTTAATTTTTTGATATATTGTAAAGACGAGGTCTCACCAAGTTGTCCAGGCTGGTCTTGAAGCCCTGGGCCCAGACAATCCTCTTGCCTCAGCCTCCATTTCTTAATTATTATTATTTTTTTGAGTTGGAGTCTCACTCTGTTGCCCAGACTGGAGTGCAGTGGCCTCGACCTGCTGGGCTCCGGCGATCCTTCCCCCTCAGCCTTCCAAGTAGCTGGAACTACAGGTGTGCGCTACCATGCCCAGCTAATTACATGTAGTCTTACTGCATGTGTCTCCTGCTTACCAGGAGGCTCAACGAAGATGGTTGTGTTTCCTTCAGTACTAGCAAGTTACGAGATCCAGGAACAGTTAA